CTTTGTACGAGAATAGGACATTACGTCTGCGAACATAATTTTACCGTCTTCTCGTAATCATATGTTGTGATACTTCACGACATCATATCCGTACTGATCCATCTTGAACGGTCGGCCACCTCCTGGCCTACGGAAGCGATTGTCAATATCTGGAGTTTGTGCGTCCAGGTCCCAGTGCTTAACTTGAAGATTTTCAACCGCGTCCTTGACTATCCATTCGGGGTCCGGTTTCTACTGATGTATTGTTTCACACTGGACCTTTACTGACGTCTTAACCCAGATGATGCTGGAAGGAGAAATTTGCTATGATAGCCTCCTTGCCACACATGTCCTTTGGTTTTGGAATGTTTGTACCAGACCGTTCGTGAACCGGATCGAGGCTAGGCAAATTTAAACTAATGGTAGTTCATATTAATCTGACCTGTATTCGTAACAAGTGAATCTAGTTCATACTGTTCAGACCTGTGTTCATAGCAATACTGCCAAGTGCACATTAAACTGACTTGTGTTCACGACAATATGACCTAGTGCATAATTAACTTACCTGTGCTAATAACTACCTAGTTCATATTAAACTGACCTGAGTTCACAACAAAATGACAGCGTTCACAACAATAACCTAGATGGTAGCAAACTGTGTGACTTGTGATAGGATGCGCGGAATGACCGATAACTCGTCGTTTTAGTGCTCAAGATCAGTGACGAGATTGATATTCCCAACAGTTTAGAAGATTGATTGTTTCTAAATTTGAATTTGATGTTTTCACGACGGTGCCCCATGATGTACTCCACATTCGTCTTGTTTATGTAGAAGCACCATCTATCAGAAACTAGCGCTTTTGCGAGACGTTTGCCTTTTGAAGGGGGGGGGGGGTACGGCAGTAGTGGAGGCAGTAAATGGGGCACATCAAGTAGTCCTCAATTATAGTGGTCAGCTTGTCAACGTAGCTCGTACAGGTTCCCAGCCTTCTAGCAGACAACCACTCATTTAATTCTGGTTTCCATGTTTTACCGAGTACAAAACAGATCGAGAATATTACGGACATATTCGGGTAGATGTTTGATACGTTTGTGAACATTTTACAGTGCAAAAAAAAAAACAAACGAAAGGTCTTGAGATATTTGCTATTTGTAAAGCCCATTACCCGGTAAGATCATTCAGCTGTGCAGTCTGGGTCACCCGTTACTGTATCTATTCACAGTTTTGTTCTCATACGCTCGTACAGTAGACCAAGGAAGCTATCAAATTGCCTCGTAGAACTGCGCTGTGTCCTTTGACTCAAATAAACGGACGGGCAAGATAATAAATCCGGCATCGATCCGTGAAACAACACGTGATGGCTTGGATAACAAACACCAAAGTGTGACGGAGTGCTGTCATTTTCACTCTGTCAGGCATTGAAGTGCAAGATGCATATTTTTTAATGTATCCACAATGTGATTGGCTAAACCTAAATTCTAGTAAAATGCTAGTTTTGTTTACGCGACAATGATAAGATCTCATTGGCTGAAAATCGAGAATGTTCTCGAAGCCAGAGAATCAAGTTAACATTGCTACGTGGAAGTTTATAAGAAAATCATTGGTAGATAGCCAAATCAGAAGATAGCAAAAGATAGGCTTTCGGATACACTCTACTGTATTCTTATGAGAGCACTGTGAGCCACCCTTAGGTGCCAGGTAGCCGTAAGATCCTTCCTCATTTTAATTGAATTTTAAATTTACCAAACAACCCTCAGTGGTCCATCAACTGGCCACACCTCCTCAGGTCTTCGCTTTGGGCCGCCTCGGTTCCTTGCTTCGGCGGTCCACGTCTCGGAACAGTCTTCGCTTCCTCGCCCCAGCGCTCACCACTGTGTTACACAAAGAGCCCAAAAGAAGCATCGAGATGGAAATAATGAATGGCTCCCTATCCACGAGAACCAATAAGCTCTGCATTAGTTCGACATAGTTATGCTCAGTATCAAAGGTTCTTCGCCTTCACCATTTCTCACAAACGGAAGCCTATCTTCGTCTTAGCTATTTCCAAAAATGAAAGCAGTCGCTGGAACAAATTGCTCGAAAAGATTTTCACGCGGACGAGCTCTAGTACTCATTTTATAGACTCTTCTACCTAGCCGTTACATTTCACCCTGGGCTGGACCTAAGCGCACGACGGAAAGCCTAGAGAAGGTGCTGATATGGTGGACCCTCGTAGCTTATTAGTGCCCCAAAAGACGCTTGCAAGCACTGTTATTGTGACTAGCAAAAGGACCCATGAACCCGCATACTTTGCTAAAAGC